CACATTGAATATTTCACAACGAGAAAATTTTATTGGGCAAAGTTAAATATTTTAACTAAGTCCCAGTATTTTTTTCTCGTTGTGAAAATTCAACGTGGACTTCATTTCATTCGAGTGTTGGTTTTGGGAATTGGTGTGAGGGAACACTAAAAACATAAAAAGTTTCAACGCTGAACAGAAAGAGAAAAATTGATCTGGGACTTAGGGTTTTTTTTAGGCTCTCCACCTCCCCTTCCTCCTCCTCCTCCTCCTCTCCCCCTTTTTTTTTCCCTTTTTTTTCCGCTTTTTTTCACATTTTTTTTTCCTATTTTGGTGTTTTTTTTTCGCATGTTGTGGTTTTTGGGTAGATTTTTGGGTTCGGCATGCATCTTTCGCAATGTGTCTCTCTGCGTGTAACCTCTCGCATCATGGACCTCAGGTTGACCATCACTTGGTGTGTTCGTTTCAGGACCCTTTGCGCTCGCCAACAGCCAGCCACCAGCACTGCTCTCCATTTTTTCTGCTTCCGAGTTGGTCGTCGTCGCCTTCAGCCGGATTCGATCCGTCTCACCTTGTGCCTGCCTCCAGAGCGATTTCACCGAGTATGCGGTCACTTAAAACCGCTCGGCTATTTAAGTTATTGATGATAAAAGTTATTTTTATTCCTATATTGTATTAATATTGAATTTTAATAAAGAATATGTATCATACACATCTCTCTTATTCATCATCTGCCTCTACCCCTCTCTTTCCCCAGTTCTTCCTCTACTTTTTTTTTTCTTTTTATGTATCTCTCTTACAGTCAAGTGCGAACCTTGAATTTTTCAGAAATATTCTAAGTGTCAAGTCGAAATGCGACACCTGAATTTAATATTTTGAACTAATATTGATAATTAATGAAAAACTATACATTCGATTTTTTGGCCTCTTCTGGAATCGAACCGAGACACGCTGAGCAATCTTAGTGGTCACTTAACGATCTCGGCCAATTGGTTACGTGAAACCGTAGTCTTTTGTAAAAATATAAAGTGTTATTTTCAAACTGAAAGATATAAGTTTCCTAAAAATGTAGTACGCCAAATGTGCGAATGGCCGAGGTCGTAAAGATACGGTTTAGGCCAGAATATCAATTCGAAGTTCGCTAGTTCGAACCCCATTTGACTGAAAAAAATATTTGGAGCCAATAATTTTTCAAACTGTGTAAATAAATAAGACATATAGATAGAATTAAATTTATTGAGTGTCAGTATTACAAAAATCGACATAATATATATATATATATATATATAATA